CATTCCAGTCACCCATTATTATCAATGCATTTTGATTGCATGTTCGATGGCTCTCCGACTATAAAAGTTGGTAAAAATCTTCTATTTCCTCTTCCTTGTCTCTGGTTGTTGGTGCCTATATCTGAATGATAGTGGTATTCACTGGCCTTCCTTGTATGCGTGTTTTTGTCTTAGGGTAGACAAATAAATGATTGATCTTAGATCAGTTAAAAAGAGATCCCTGAATGTTACTACTAGAAAGGCCATGGAAAGTAATCAGTGCTAACCTTAGGGCTAATAGTTAACTATGATATTTCAAGGGAGAAAGATGGATAGGATAGGATAGGATAGGATAGGATAGGATAGGATAGGATAGGATAGGATAGGATAGGATAGGATAGGATAGGACAGGACATTGTCTTCCCTTTTAAATTTATAGTCTCAGAAACCAGATGAAGGATCACTTCTTGTTGAAGTTTACTGAAGGCAGTAGCTACGTAGTCTTAATTGGCAATTCTGTTTGTTGTTATTATTATGTGCCATCTACAACTCATAATGACCCTGTGCACAGTAGCTCTGAACACTGGCCTAAGTTTAGCTAGTCTCACTGTTTCTGACACACCTAACCCTAGTTACTGTGTCAATCCATCTCACCCAGAGTCTTCTGCTCCTGTGTTTTCCCCTTGCAATCATGAAGTGTCCCACTCTAAGGACTGATCCCTCTTGGCAACATGCCTAGAGTATGTGGGGTAGAGCTTCAGAATTTTTGTCTCCATGGAGCAACTAGGTTTCACGCTCTCCGGAACAAACCTGTTTGATCTCTTGGCCGTCCGTGGAATGTTCAGCACTTTTCCAACACCACAACTCAGAGGCATCAATTCTTCTTCTGTCATCCTTACTGATTGTCCAGCTCTCTGATGCATAGCAAGTAATTGCAAAGACCATGACATCAAGGCTCTTTAGCACTCTGAATAGGTCCCTGACAGCAGATTTTCCCAGTGTAATATGCCTTTTGATTTCCTAACTGTTGGTGCCAAAAGTGTTGATTGTGAAGCTGAGCAACCTGAAATTGTTAAAAATCTCAGTCTCCTCTCCATCTATCATGGTGCAGCCAGTTTGCCCAGTTGTGACAATCTGGTTTTTTTTTTATATCGAGCTTCAGTCCCTATTGAAGAGTACAGTCCTTCACCTTCTGCAGCAAATGCTTCAAGTCCTCAGTATCAGCAAACAAGGTTGTATAATCTGAATAATGCAGGTTGTTGATGAGCCTTCCTCTTAATTCCAATTCCACCTTTGTCCTCATAAAGCTCAGCCTTCCAAATTTTCTGCACCACATATAGATTGAAAAGGTATGGACAAGACACATCTCTTTCCTGAGATACACTCCTTTCCTGATACTGAACCATGCAGTATTTTCTTGTTCTGTTCTGAGAACTGCTTCCTGGTCCAAGTATAAGTTTTGCTTGAGCACAATTAGGTGTTCTGGGATTCCTATTCTTCTCAGTGTTAGCCACAATATGTTCCTACATTTATTCCCATTTTTAAAAAAAATGTGATCTAACAGTGTGAAAATTAGCCAACAATATTACTAATAACACATGCAGGTAAAATCCTGAAGATTATCGAAAAATGACTGGAACTTTTCATTGACCAAGAACTACCAGAAATACAAGCTGGTTTTAAAGGAGGCTGTGGTGCTAGGGACATCATAAGCAATGTGTCAGCTCTTGATTGAGAGCAGAGAATACAAAAATAAAAGTCTGTCTTCAAGTTTTGCTTTACAGGTGGAAAAATTCTTAGAAACTAGTATCTGACTTACTAAGGGTCACAGGGTGAATTGGAACAAAGCAGATGGTAGAACTCCTGTCTTGTGATTCTCACTTCAGTTGCACTTTCTACCTAATATAAGCCCTTTGAAGTTAGGAGATGGCTATATTTCCCTTAGCTTTTTCTCTTCTTCTCTCTATTGTATTTCATAGTGTGTTGCATGTCCTATTCTATTGGACTCTTCACTAATATAACATGGCTTGGGATGCTATATTAGAAAAATAATTTCCGTTTACAAATTCTTCCTCAGAGAAAAGGCATAGTCTTAGAACTGGGGTTCCTTCCCCTGAAATGTAGTTTATTATTTGAAATTATAACTTATTTTAGAAATGTCTAATATTCAGATTTAGTTTCTTGAGAGGGTTTTTGCTTAAATGAGAGGATGTGTATTTATATTGTGAATGTATTGAAATAAAATATTACTTTGTATATTTTTGTCTTAGGCAAGAAAACATTTCTTGGACAAAATAAATCCTTCTGGGGACCTCTAGAACTAGTAGAAAAGCTTGTTCCAGAAGCTGCAGAAATAACAGCAAGTGTTAAAGATCTTCCAGGACTTAAGTAAGTTCTATTTTCTTAGGAGAAATGAGAGTAACAGTGATCTTGATTAGTGAAGATAACAATTATAGTGGCCTAATGGTTAAGGAACTGCCCTAAAGCGTGAGGTTCGAAACCACCAACTGCTCTGTATGAGAACGATGGGGAGTCTCCTCCCATGGGATTTAATGCCTCTGAAAACCTGCTGAAGGGTTATCTATGGGTCAGTTCCAACTCGATGATACCCAGCAACATTACAAAAGATTTGGAAATGTATTGAGAAAGCCATACCTTTGCAGGGCAATTAATTGTTACTCTGAGAGGTTGAGGTTGTCTTATTGAAATGCCACTTTTTTTTTAAGGAACTAATGAAAATTTCTTCTAGTAAGTTTTAAGAAATAGCAAGTGGCATGTTGAACTTCTTACATACTTTGGATATGTTGCTAGGAGAGACTGTTCATTGGAGAGGGACAGCAAAAGAGAGGCAGACGTTTTACCAGGTGGTTTGACACAATGACTGCAACAGTGGGCACAAGTTAGAGATTGTTTTGTTTTTTTTTTTTTCAAGTTAGAGATTGTGAGGATGGCACAGGATAGGAGAGGGTTCTGTTGTTCATAGGGTTGCTATGAGTCGTATTCAACTTAGCAGCACCTAAAAACAATAATACTGAGCTTATGGGGAAAAATATGTGAGATATGATTTGAGAGCCAGGGAGAAATTGTTGCAAGAAATTACTTAAAAATTTGACATTTAGAACCTGAAAAGTAATAAAAGCTACCTGCCCAAATTAGCTTGGTTTCCTTTTTATCAGAGAAGAGCCTAAATTGACAGTGTCTGCGTAGGAATGTGGCTGGGAAGATAGTGATAATACCTTAGTGTTCACTGGGAGATTATTGACGTGAATAAGTAAAACTGCATTTCACTGTGGCTCCTGACTTTGTTATTTATATTGTCACTTATTTTATTTCTGTGTTTTCATAGGACACCAGTAGGCAGAGGAAGAGCCTGGCTTCGTTTGGCATTAATGCAAAAGAAACTCTCAGAATATATGAAAGCTTTGATCAATAAGAAGGAGCTCCTCAGGTAAGAATGCCTTCATATTATTAAATTTTCTTTTTCTTGATACGTTGTTCATATTTAACCATGTAAGGCTTTAGCCATCAGGCTGCTTTGTATGTTGTTAACTATCATCGAGTTGAATATGACCCATAGCAACCCTGTGAACAACAGATCTGAACCCTGACCTATCGTGTGCCATCCTCACACTTCCTTACACATTAGAGCCCATTGTCACAGTCACTGTGTAAGTCTACTTTGTTGAGGGCCTTCCTCTTTCACAACCTTCTGCCTTTCCAAGCAACATGTCCTTCTCCAGAAATAGCCCCTCCTAGCAATATGCCTGAAGTATTAAGAGGCAAAGCTTTATCATCTTTGCCTCCAAAAAACTCTCTGGCTGCACTTTCTCCAAAAAATATTTGTTTGTTCTTTTAGCAGTCCATGGAATGTTCAGTACTCTTCTCCAATACCACAGTTCAAAGTCATCAGTAATTCTTCGGTTACCCTTATTTAATTATCCGGCTCTCAGCTGCATAACAAGTGATCAGAAAGACCATGATCTGAATCAGATGCACCTTAGTTCTCAAACTGACCTCATTCCTATTTAATAGTTTGGAGAGTCCCTAACTGCACTTTCCCAGTGCAGTATGTCTTCTGATTTCCTGACTGCTGGTACCAAGAATATTAATTGTGGTTCCAAGTAAGATGAAGTTGTTGACAATTTCAATCTCCATCTACCACGTTGTTCGCTATTAGTCCAGTGGTAAGAATCTTTGTTTTCTTGACAGTGAGATGTTATCCATATTGAAGGCTATATTCCTTGGTATTCTGCAATGGTCTAGGTTTTACATGATCACATTTAAGTTCTGTGGGATTCCCATTCTTCTCAATGTTAGGCCTAACTTGTTACAATCCACACAAATTCCTTTGCATAGCCAATAAAGTATAAATAGACATTCTTCTGCTATATTTTCAGCTAGGACCCATGTGCCATCAGCAATGATATCCCTGGTGCCATGGCTTCTTCTAAATCTTGCTTTAACTTTTGGCAGTTCCCTATCTGTGTACCATCTTAGCTGTTTTTTTGCTTAGCAGTATTTTGCTTGCATGTGATATTAATGATACCGTTCTATAGTTTCCACATCTGTTGGATCACATTTCTTGGGAATGGGAATAAATAAGGACCTCTTCCAATCCATGTGCCAGACAGCTGTCCTCCAAGTCTCCTGGCATAGACTGGTGAGTGCATCCAGGGCTGCATCTGTTAATCTAAACAAGTCAGTTGGTGCCCCTTCAATTCCTGAGGCTTTATTTTTTTCCAATGCCTTCTATACAGCTTCCACTTCCTCCTTCATTACCATCGGCTCCTGCTCATACTTTTTGAAATTTTTCATGGTCAGTCAGATTTTTGGTAAAGTGATTCTGTGTATTCCCTCCATCTTTTGATGCTTCCTGAGTCATTCAACATATTGCACATAGCATCTTTCAGTATTGTGACTTGAGGCTTAAATTTGTTTTTCAGTTCTCTCAGCTTGAGAATTTTAGAGTGAGATCTTCCCTTTTGTCCAGTTCCAGCTCTCTGCATATTCCATTATAAAACTTTGCTTTGTCTTATCAAGTTACCTTTTGAAATCTTCTCTTCAGCTCTTTCACCTCAGCATATTTTCCCTTTGTTTTGGCTTCTTTTTTTTTTTAATTTTTATTTTATTATTTGTGTGTGTGCGTGTACCGTCAAATCAGATCTGACTGGTATAGGAGGAGATTGTCCCTCCTTCCCCGGCAGAGCATCTGGTGGGTTTGAATCGTGCGCCTCTGGGATTGTAGTTGCAGCTCCTTGCCACTAGGCCACCAGAGCTCCCTTGTTTTGGCTTCTTGACATGGTAGTGTGATTTTTCAGAGTCTTTTCTGACATCCATTTCGGTTTTTTCTTCTCTTTCTAATAATAGCCTTTTGCTCTCTTCATGAATGGTATCTTTGATAGCATCCCACAACTCATCTGGTCTTTGATCATTGGTGTTCACTGCTTCAAAACATATTCTTAAGATAATTTTGAAATTCAAATGGAATAGATTCAAGATCATATTTTAGTTATCATAGACTTGTTTTCTTTTTTTTTTTGTCACAATTTGAACTTGCATGTGAGTGCAATGATGATCTGATTTACAGGCGGCCCCTGGCCTAGTTTGACAGCTGATATTGAGCTTCTCCAACGATTTCTTCCACAGATGTAGTCATTCTGATTCCTTTGCAGCCTGTCAGGTGAGGTCCATGTGTAAAGTTACTGTTTGTGACTTTTAAAAGGTGTTTGTGATGAATAAATCATTGAAAATATAAAATTCAGTCATTTTATATCCATCCTCATTTCTGTCACCAGGCCCATATTTCCATCTACTTTTCCTTCTTCACTGTTTACACTGGTTTTTCTTCTTCCTTAATTAGAAGTACACTAATCCTAAATTGAAATATGTTCCACATATAGATTGAAAAGATATGAAGATAGGACACATCTTTGGCACCTTCCCAGTTTTTAACCATGTGGTGCTTCCTTGCTCTGTTCTAATGACTGCTTCCTTGACAAGTATAGGTTTCACATAAGCAAAATCAAGTGTTCTGGGATTCTCATTCTTCTCAGAGTTAGCCACTATTTATTTTGATCTACACAGTCAAATGCCTTTGCATAGTCAACGGAACACAGGCATTCCTCTGGTACTCTCTGCTTTCAACCAAGATCCATCTGACATTAGCTATAATATCCCTAGTACCACAGCCTCTTCTAAACCCAGCCTACACTTCAGGCAGTTCTCTGTTGATGTGCTGTTCCAATTTTTTTTGGATAATCTTCAGCAGAATCTTGCTTGCATGTGATATCAATGATATTGTTAGAAAATTTCCACACTCTGTCAGATCACCTTTCTTTTTCAATCTATATGTGGAACAGATTATCCAGACAACTGGGCTCTGTGAGGAGAAATGGTTGGATCAACAATCTGCAATATGCAGATGACACAATCCTGCCTGCTGAAACTGAGGAGGACCTGAAGTGCCTGCTGCAGAAGGTCAAGGATTTCAGCCTTCAATATGGATTGAAGCTCAACATCAAGAAAAGAAAGAGTCTCACCACTGGGCCAATTGGCAGCATCAATATGGATGGTGAAGAGATTAAGATAGTTAACAGTTTTAGTTTGCTTGGCTCTACATTCAACACTCTTGGTACCAGCAGCCAAAAAATTAAAAGACAAATTGCATTGGGAAAGTCTGCTGTCAGAGACCTCTCCAAAGTACTGAAGAGCAACAATGTCAGTGTGGAAACTAAAGTGAGCCTGATACAGGCCATAGTCTTTGCAGTTACTTGCTATGCATCAGAAGGCTGAACAGTGACTAGGGATGATAGAAGGAGAGTTGAAGCCTTTGAGCTGTGGTGCTAGGAGAACAAACAAGTTTGTTCTCCTAGCAGTCCATAGTATATTCAACACTCTTCTCCAGCACCACAGCTCGAAGGCATCAATTCTCTTTCTATCATCCTTATTCACTGTCCAACTCTCTGATGCATAACATGTAATTGCAAAGACTTTAGCCTGGATCAAGCACACCTTTGTCTCCAGCCTGATGTTGTTGCTCTTCAGTACTCTTGAGAGGTCCCTCACAGCTGACTTTCCAAATGCAATTCGTCTCCTGATTTCCTGGCTGCTATTACCAAGAGTGTTGACTGTGGAACCAAGCAAACGAAAACTGTTAACTATCTCAATCTCTTCACCATCCATACTGATGCTGCCAGTTGGCCCAGTGGTGAGAATCTTTGTTTTCTTGATGTTGAGTTTCAATCCATATTGAAGACTGAAGTCCTTGACCTTCTGCAGCAAGCGCTTCAGGTCCTCCTCAGTTTCAGTGAGCTGGGTTGTGTCATCCGCATAGCGTAGGCTGTTGATGATTCTTCCACCAATCCTGATGCCACATTCCTCCACCTACAGCCCAGTGTCTCAGATTATCTTTTCTGCATACAGATTGAAAAGGTATTGAGACAGAATACATCCCTGATGAACCCCTTTCTTGATTTTGAACCATCCAGTGTTTCCCTGCTCTGTTCTGATGACTGCCTCTTGGTCCAAGTATAGGTTTCGCATTCGCACACTCAAATGTTCTGGGATTACCATTCTTCTCAGAGTCAGCCATAGCTTGTTGTGTTCCACACAGTCAAAAGCCTTTGCATAGTCGATGAAGCACAGATAGACATTCTTCTGGTAATGTAAAAATTTAAAATAAATCCGATTTAATAAATCAAAGCAAATTGTTAAAAACAAAGTGTAAGATATATAAGAGATTACAGAATTCTACCAAGGTATGTAACATGTTTTTGTTATTCTTGATTGCTGTCGAGTTGAGCACAACTCATAGTGACCCTCTGAACAAAAGACCTGAAGCCTTTCTGTAAATACTGTTTCTCAAAGTTCATAGAGTTTCCAGAGGCATGTTGTTTAGGAAGTGGATGCCACTCTTGAAGCCAAAGATGTGTAACATAAAAATATATAAAGAAAAGCAGGAATAAAAATACTATAAACCAGAATACCATTCTGACCACACTTGTTTCAGCTAATCATCTATTCATGTCCCTGTTAGGTATTTTCCAAGCCATAATACCATTCTGACCACACCTCTTTCAGCTAGTTATCTATTCATATCCCTGTTGTTGTTAAGTACTATTGTTGTTTAAGTCGCAGGTGACTCATAGCGACCCTATGAACGAAAGTCCTAGACACTTCCTGTATAGCTTTCGTCCTTTCTCCAGGTTCATAGGGTTTCCAGAGGCAAGCTGTTGTGGAAGTGGATGCCACTCCTGTTTCCAAGCTTGTTTTAATCGGGGAGCTTCACCAAACACTGTCCGGGGTTGGTAACAGTATTCGGCTTCACAACAACCACGAGTTACCTCTGTACAGCCAGTGGACATACCAGGATTACACAACCTAGAAGAATGTTTCACCAAAAACAATTAAAGGCAGGCCTGAGGGCGGCGGGATAGTCACGCACCTTTGGCTTGGGAGCATGGCTTTCTGTCTGCTAGGCCAACTGCTCACTCTCTCTTCCTCTATGCTGTTGTTGGTAGTAGTGTTGTTAAGTGCCGTAGAAAAAGTATTTTTCCAAGCCATTATTTTTTTCTACTCTTACATTAATGGCCATATTCAACATTGAAACAACCCTTTTCCCCCTTTGTCTTTTGATTACATGATTGGATTATTGATATTTTTTTACTTGTGTAAAACATTGTGAATTTCTATTACAGTGAATTTTATGAACCTAATGCCCTCATGATGGAAGAAGAAGGAGCCATAATTGCTGGTCTGTTGGTAGGACTAAATGTCATTGATGCCAACTTCTGTATGAAAGGAGAAGATTTGGACTCTCAGGTATGGACGCGTTATTCAGCTACCAACTCTGTCACTCTCAATTCTGTTATTACCAGAATTTGGATTGATTTTTTTTTACCATAACCACCAAATTGTTGTTGTTGTTATGTGCCATCGAGTTGCTTGCGACTCATAACAACCCTTTGTACAACAGCCATAAACCCTGTTCTGTTCTTTCCCAATCTTACTGTCTCTGACACACCTATCCCCATTACCCCAGTGATTGAATCAGTCCATCTCACCGAGGGTCTTCCTCTCCTGCTCTATCCCTCCACCCTGCCAAACATAACGTCCCTCTCCAAGGACTGATCCTGCCGTGCAACATGTCCAAAGTATGTCAGATGAAGCTTTAGAATCCTTGTCTCTAAGGAGCTGCCTGGCTTCACCCTGTCTAGGATGAACTTGTTTGTCCTCCTAGCAGTCCATGGTATATTCAGTACTCTTCTCTAGCACCAAAGCTCAGAGGCATCAACTCTCCTATCATCCCTAGTCATTGTCCAGCTCTCTGAAGTATAGCAAGTAATGACAAAGACCATTTGGAGAAGTCTCTCACAGTAGACTTTCCCAATGCAATTTGTCTTTTAATTTTTTGGCTGCTGGTACCAAGAGTGTTGAATGTAGAGCCAAGCAAACTGAAGCTGTCGACAAACTCAATCTCTTCATCATCTATCATGATGCTACCAATTAGCCCAGTGGTGAGAATCTTTGTTTTCTTGATGTTGAGCTTCAATCCATATTGAAGGCTGAAATCCTTGACCTTCTGCAGCAGGCACTTCAGGTCCTCCTCAGTTTTAGCAAACAGGGTTGTGTCATCTGCATAACTCAGATTGTTGATAAGTCTACCTCTAATCCTGATGCCACCCATACTTCACCTCATAGAGCCCAGCCTCCCAGATAATCTTTTCTGCATATAGATTGAATATGGAGATAGGACACATCCTTGATGCACACCCTTCCCAATTTTGAACCATGCAGTGTTTTCTTGCTCTGTTCTCACAACTGCCTTCTGTTCCAAGTATCAGTTTTGTATAAGCACAATCAAGTGTTCTGGGATTCCCATTTTTCTCAAAGTCAGCGGCAGTTTGTTGTGATCCACACAGTCAAGTGCCTTTACATAGTCAATGAGACATTCCTCTGGTACTCTCTGCTTTCAGCCAAGATCCATCTGACATTAACTGTAATATCCCTAGTGCCATGGCCTCATATTCTTTTTAATTTTGAGGTGAACATGAGAAGTTAAGAAATTGATTTTTTCCTTTCCTTTTGGCTTGTTTATGTGTTATGTTTTATTTTATTTGCTTGTTTGATATGCATGTTTTAAAAATTATTTAATATGATTCCTGTAAAACATTTACATATAAATTAAACTATATGAGCAGGGAGCTCTAGTGGCTTAGTGGTAAGGAATTGACACTGCCAACCCAAAGGCACACAGTGAAAATCTATTACTCTTCCACAAGAAAGATGAGCAGTCTACTCCTGTGTGATTTACTGCCTCTGAAAACCCACTAAAGGGTCAGCTAGAAGTCATTTCTGACTCAGCAATACAAAACAACAAAATATATACACAGAGCTCTGGTGGCCTAGTGTATTTAAGACATTGTTGTGAGGAATTGACATGCAGTGCATTTAGAACATGGCCTGCCACTTATTAATAGCCTAATAAATGAAGCTTGTGTTTTCACTATAAATATATAACACCCCCTATTGCCCTGTGTGCCGTGAACACTCTTGGTACGAGCAGCCAAGAAATTAAAAGACAAATTGCATTGGGAAAGTCTACTGTCAGAGACCTCCGCAAAGTACTGAAGAGCAATGATGTCAGTCTGGAGACTAAGGTGTGCCTGATATGGCCCATGGTCTTTGCAATTGCTTGCTATGCATCAGAGAGCTGGACAGTGACCAGGGATGATAGAAGGAGAGTTGATGCCTTTGAGCTGTGGTGTTGAAGAATATTGAATATACCATGGACTACTAGGAGAATAAACAAGTTCATCCTGGAGAGGGTGAAGCCAGTCTGCTCCTTGGAGGCAAGGATTCTGAAGCTTCATCTGACGTACTTTGGACATGTTGCAAGGCAGGGTCAGTCCTTGGAGAGGGACTTCATGCTTGGGAGGGAGGAGTGACAGTACAGGAGAGGAAGACTTCTGTGAAGTGAGATGGATTGATTCAGTCACTGGGGTAATGGGGATAGGTGTGCCAGAGACAATAAGATTGGCACAGGATAGAGCAGGGTAAAGGGCTGTTGTACATAGGTTCACTAGGAGTCGCAGATGACTTGACAGCACGTAACAACAACAACAGTGCCCTGCCTACTGGATAAGGAGTTACAGTGCTGACCTCAAAGTGGTGCTTCTCTGGAGGTTTGTAACCACTAATGGCTTCATGAGAAGAAGATGGGCAATAAGCAGTCTCCTCTGTTGCAAGTTGCAACCTCTGAAAACCTGCTGGAGAGTCAGCTCTGAGTCAGTTCTAACATGATGGCAGTCCTTTTTTTTTTTTAAATACTGTAATTTCTGTTATATTTGACTTGGCGGAAATGAATATTGTAATTTAATTGTTAAGAAACTATTCCTAAACATCAATTTAGTAAGTGATTACTTGAAAAAACAAGTAACATTGAAGAAGAAAAACTTTAAAAAATTAGAAAAGACATTTTGCATCTTATTTATAGTAAGAGTTCTTTTCACTTTTAACCTGTGCTTTTTTATTTAAGAGAAAGAAAATTTAGATCTTATTTATATTGAATGTTCTGTGGGCTACTTGCCTTAGCTATGATCTGATTTTCTATTTCTGTTGACTTAAGAGAAAGAAACTTTAGATCTTATTTATACTAAATATTCTTTCAGGTGGCATAGTAAGAAAGTGCACTGCAATCTCAAAGGAGTGTGGTTTGAATACACCAGCTGCTCCATGTGAGAAGGATGTGCAGTCTCTTTCCAGTGATTTACTGCCTCTGAAAACCCACTAGTGGGTTAGCTATGAGCCACTAATGACTCAATAGTACTTGCCTTAGTCATTATCTATTCTTCTCTTCCTGTTAATCTTGATTCTTTACTTATTTCTAAACCTGCCAGTTCTTGATTGTATTTTAAAGTGAAGCAGTTTTCATCACAAATTTATAGATTGTCATGATTTTAATACTGTTTTGAATACCTAGAAATGGATATTACCTTGGAAAACATTTAGCTCTTTATTAAATTCTGAAAATTCTCTCTGTAGGTTGGAGTTATAGATTTTTCGATGTATCTCAAGGATGGGAACAGCAGTAAAGGTAGTGAAGGGTATGTACAAAGAAAATTCCTTTTCTTTTTAATATTTTTTCTCTGTTGTTTTTAGTACTCTTCAATACTGCATTTATAGACTTGGTGAAATAATTCGTGATGACAGATCGTCAGTAGTATCTCACCAAAAATATCTACTATACCTTCTACCACATCCTGAGAGTTTTTCACTTGACTGATTTCCTGTTTAATGATTTTCAGATGCAAGAATTTCTTAAAAAAACAACCTCAAGGAATTCCATTTTATACTCTTGGTGGTTTTGGTTTTTTGGGTTTTTTTTTTTTTTTTTTTTTTTT